AGAAGAAGAACAGGCCAGCAGCAGAAGACTGACTACATACCATCAGGGACCAGTAGGGGGTAGGATGGGGAGCCAGGAAGAGTGGGTGCAGTTGAGGATGAGTGCCCTGTGTACTGTGGGAGAGCTCTGCATGTCTCCGTGTGAGAGAGCACGGCCTGGTAACTTGTCCTTGACGGTTGCCACGAGTTCTCAAGAAATGGAATAAATTATAGTGAGTATTCTAAGACGGCAAGGCAAAATGTAACCCTGTCACAACTGTTCCAGCACAGATGATTAAAGTAAGTTTGGGTGCCTTAAAAGGGATTTGATTAGTATTTTGAAAAACTTAAGTGGAAAATATACTTGTTTCCTAATGTCAGCAAATTTGGCTGTTCCAAAGGAGAAAACAAATACTGGATTGTAAATTTTCCTGAGGAGGAAATTTCATCCATTGTGTCTCTTAATAAGTGATGTTTACTTATTAAATGTTCACATATCCATGGTATTATTCAAACTGTTAATGTGTTTTAATTTTTGTTAAAATATGATAACCAGGGCCGGCAGGTGGTGTGGTGGTTAAAGGCGCTGGATTCCCACATGGCCAACTGCAGTTTGAGTCCCGGACTGGGTGACTTCCTTTCTCACTTTTCCTTTCTCTCTCTCTCTGTCTCTGGTCAAATTAAATAGTAATAAGAAAAATAAAAATATTTTTAAGAAAATAATATGGTAACCAAGAGTTTGCTAGTAAGGGACTGGACCATTTGAAGGCTCAGATTTGTTCACTTGGTACACCATGGCTTTATTGCAGACAGTAAAGAGATCGGTAGCGTTCATTCTCCAGCAAGAGCAGGCTGGGTGGTCTGCATTCACTATCCCACAACAGAAAACAAATTCTAGATTTTTTAAATGTTACCTTAAAGGTATTTGAAAAACTGGAAAGATGATAAAAGAATTGCTAGGTTAAATTTTTGGAGAAGCCTCACAGAGTGAGTAGATTATCAGGACACTAAAACCAGTTTTGTCTTTTGTTTTGTTTTTTTTTTAATTATTTATTATTGTTGTTATCATTTTTAATTCACCAGAGAGAGTCAGGGGGGTGGTGAGAAAGCAAGCCAGCAGGTCCAGGACTCAAACTGTGGTCTGTCATGTGGGAGTACAGCACTGCAACCACTATGCCAAAGAGATTTTTGCTGTAGGGCACGTGTACTCGCTAAAGGGACAGACAGCAAAAAATCACCCCCTGGGGGGGTATGGCCATGCCAGAATTCCTTCTCCTCCATTCTGCTCTCAGAATTCGGGGCATGCATGCACGTGTTCCTGGTGTGCATTTTAAGTCACTGGGTCTGGGACTCAAACTGCGGTCAACTACGTGGGAGTCCAGTGACGTAACTATTAAGCCATCTACTGGTCCCAAAACCAGTTTTGTCTTTAAGACATTTGCCAAAACACAGCGGACTTTGGTTCATAAGAGCAAGGGGAGCCAAAGTCCAATCCCAGTCTGAGCATGTGAAAGTGAAGTTTTGGAGCGGGTGCTCCCCTGGTTAAGGAGGGACCCAGAGGACAACCTCTTCCCCGCCCTCCAGACTCCAGGGGATGGTAGAAAAAGCTGCCTTGGCAGTGCAGACTAGAAGAAAAGGAAAAAGCGAGGAAAACCCCTGAGACATGTGGGCACCAGCCAGCCCACTTATAGGTTGACATCCTGTTGATGCCTTGTGCCTTGGCCAAGGAAGCTCAGTGAGTTGGTTTGGCTCAGGCTCCCCAGGAACCTAACAGAAGTAGGTGTAGTGTTCATCCTGACCCTCAGCAAGTCAGTCCCACAAATAAGTGTAAAGGGTAGCCACTACTGCATCAACAAACAAGACAGTTAATAAACACACACGAAGTAAATTAGGAAATAAATAACCAGAGCACACGGGAAACAAGGCAGCGGTGATCAGTGGCGTAGCTTTCAGGCATAGCCGTAAAACAGACATGCATGCTGCATAGCAGTACACAGACTTGAACAGGGATCACAAGAACAGTAAGCTGTCCAAAGTGATAGCACAGATTTGAAGGGGTAAAAAGGACTTCAAAAAGAAAAAAGTAACCCAAATTAAAATCTCAGCAAACTTTTTTTTTTTTTTTTGGAGAGGGCTTTGCTATATTGCACATGCACTCGCCAGACAGAGACAAAGAGATAGAAAGTGAGAAATCACCTCCCAGGGGGATAGCCACACTCCATTCTCCTCTCGGGATCTTGGGCACGCACGCACACGCACCTAGCGTGAGTTTTAAACCACCGGGTCCAGGACTCTAACTGCGGCTATGTGGGAGTCCAGCGACATAGCCATTATGCTAACTGCTGGTCCCAATCTCAGCAAACATTTTGACAGCAGGGTTGATTTAGAAGAGAGAGTCAGGGAATCGGAAGATAAGTTAGAAAAAATAACCTGACTGCTGCAAAGAGGTCGTCGAGACCACAGTGGAACACAAAGGTGCAGATATCGGCTTGATGGAATTCTAAGAGATGAAGAGAGTTTACCATTCCACTAGAGGCCAGCAGATCCAAAAGAAACAAACGTAGGCACAGCAAAATAGCAAATTACTATAAAAAATTTGACCTTTTTTTTTTTTTTTTTTTTTTTAATTTTTTGTTACAGTTCACTTGCACTCGCCAGAGTGAAGAAAAGTGAGAGAAGTCATGACCACGCCTCATTCGCTTCTTTATTCTCCTTCTGGGATTCTGGGCACTTACACACACAAACCCAGTGTGATTTTAAAGCCTCCAAGCCTGAGACTCAGGCATGGTCAGCTCTGGGAGGGTGGGGGTGAGTGGTGGGGCATAGTGCCTTATCCACTATGCCGCTGTTGGCCTCGGAACATCTGACTTTTTTTTTTTTTTTTTTAGAGGTTTGTTTGGGGTTTTTTGTTGTTGTTTTGCTATAGGCACATGCGCTCACCAGACAGACAAAGGGAGATAGAAAGCAAGAAGTCACCCCCCAGGGGGATGGCAACACTGCAGTCCCTTCTCCTCCATTCTCCTCTCAGTATCTTGGGCACGCACACACACGCACCCAGCATGAGTTTTAAGCCACTGGGTCCAGGACTCGAACCGTAGTCGACTACATGGGAGTCCAGCAACATAGCCATTATGCTAACTGCTGGTCCCTGTATCTGACTTTTTGATATCACAGATAGCAGAATGATGTCCTCAGTGTGCTGGGAGAAAATAACTGCCAATCTAGATTTCTACACACAGTGAAAATATCCTTTAAGAGTGAAAGTAAAATATACTTTCAAACAAAGAATTCTTTATCAATAAGTCATTGCTAAAGAAAATTCTTAAGAGTGGATTTCTGACAGGCAAAATGAGCACAATTGGAAGGTCTCATGTACAAGATCGAATGAAGGGCATAGGAAGAGGTAAATATGTGAGTAGATAGCAGTAAACATCACTCAGATAAAGGAATTCATCTGTGGGGCTTAATCAGGTCAAAGAAGTGAAAAAGTAAGTTTTAAGTTGTAGGATAGGAATGGATAAGGGATAGAGTTAAAGCTTCTAAGAGCCTTATACTATTATCCAGGAGGAAATAAAGGTTTTGATTAATTTTAGACTTTGATAAGTATGTGTCTAATTTCTAAGGTAACTGATTAATAGCAAGGTATTGTGTAATTTTCAAGCTAATGGAAGGGAGGAGACAATGATTACTACCACATGGATGCGGCAAGCTGACTCTGAACTGTATGTGGAAATGCCGAGGGCTGAGAATAGCCAGAACTTTCTGGACATAAGTGATCAAGGTACGAGGACTCGCTGTTTCTATGTTTTCAGTTACAGAGAAAGACAGCGAGGGCGGGAGAAAGCACCCTCCTCAATGAGGCATGAGCATTCCACAGTCCTTCCTTGGGGATCTGGTTTTCTTAACTGCCAGGCTATGGGGCCAGACCAGACTTTTTCATGATACCAAGATTTATTTTACAAATGGCCAACAGATGGCATGGAGGCTAAGGCACTGGATCCACATGGCCAGTTTTGCCATTCAAGTCCCAGACCCAGTGGCTTAAAAATCACAATGGGCACGTGTGTGTGCATGCCCAAAATCCCTAGAGGAGAATGGAGGAAAGGGGATTGCAGCATGGCCATGCCCCCTGGGGAGTAATTTCTCATTTTCCCTCTCTCTGGTAAGTAACAAACAAACAAAGGAAAATACAGAACACTTGTCCTTTTGATTAATAATTGACAGTATAGACACTAAGCAATATACATCCGAGACTTGGATATTTAGCTTGCAGTTAATATCTTGGCTTATTCCACCATAGAGTTGACAGCTGCTCTCGTTTTTGTTTTTTTGTTCTATTCACAGGCTCAGTAGATGAAGGTGTCACCGAGGGGTTGCCTACACTTCAGAGCACTTCCAGCACTAACGCCCATGCGGATGAGGATGACCGGTCAGTATTAACACAGGATGACTTTCCTGACAATAAGGGTGGTGCTGACAACTCCTGGTTCAGGGATTTACCTTAGAATTGTGTACGAAGTTCACTGGGACCTCAGTTGAGTATGCTTTCGAGAAAAACGAGGTAGCATCTCGCATTGTTGATTGGACCACCTGTGTAAGTTTCTCACCTAGGCCAGTGCTTCAGAACGGTACCTGTACCAAGGGTTGGCAGACTGGACCGCAGCCAGGTTCAGCCCACCACTGTTATCTGCAGGTCAGGTGTTATTGGAACACAGCCAGGCTCATTCATTTACATACGGTGTGGATGGCAGACTGCATGGTGTCTGCAAAGCCTCGGTATTTATTCTCCGGTCTGCTCTAAGTCGAGTTTGCCAGAAACCGAACTACAGAACTGGAATTTTCCAGTAGTCATCATCACATCAAACCTTCGTGCTTACATTCCCACACACATGGATGAGGGGCGTGTCAGACTCCACAAGGTCTAGCCAGAACTCTCAATTTCTGACTCCCCATCAGGGTTCCGCTTCTCCTGTTTTCTTCCCATTTCAGTGAGCAGCAGCAGCCACCCCAGGTTCTCAAGCAAAATCTCTGCAGTCTCGCTTCCTTCACCACTCCCTATTTTCTCTCCCCATTTGTAATTTTTTTTTTTTAAGTTTTTGCCTTAGGGTGCATGTGCTCACTGGAGAGAGAGGCAGACAGAGACAGCGAGAGGGAAGGTGAGAAATCAGCCTCTGGGGGATGGCCACTTCCACAGTCTCTTCTCCATTCTCCTCCTGGAATCTTGAGCGGGCCCACACACACGGCCAGCATGATTTTTAAGCTGCCGGATCCAGGACTCAAATTGCAAGTCCTACTCCCAGCAGAGCTCTTGAGTCTGTCCACTTTCCCTCTCTGTGCTATAGGGCCACCCTACCCTAAGTCACCATCATCTTGTGCTTTGACCACTGTAGTAGCCTTCAAAACTAACCCAAGTTCATTCCTCCCCTGCTCTAAGTCCTTTTCCATGGAGCAGCTGAAGGCATTTTTTTTCTTTATTAAGTCACATTGTAACACTATCTTAAACTATAGATTGTTAATAGTCTCCATTCATAGTGAAAATCTGATCAACTTACTATGCCTTCTAGAACCTCCACTGCGGGGCTTCTGTTGGACTCCATTCAGACTCTCTTCCCTCTCACCACCTTGGCCTGCGCTCTGTTCCTGAGGTGCCCATGCTCGCTCCTGCCTTTAGGCCTTTCTGTCACTGTAGGACTTGTCTCCACCTGAAGTGCCTTCTCCTTGATGCTCATGCTGCTGGTACCTTGACCTTGGGATCAAGTCTCAGGGCCTCTCCTGACCACTGATCTAAAGCATCACCCAATCACTATTGGATCCTCATTTTAACTCCGTTTTCTGATGGTGTTTTTCATTATTTTTCTCTCACCACTGAATATGAACTCCACTGAATGATTGAATTCCCCTTGATGGAGAGTCCAGAAAGGTCTTCAGAATTGTTTTTATTGAAAACTTGGATTCAAGGGACCCAAACATAACATCCTTTTTTTTTTGGAGAGATTTTTTGCTATAGGGCGCGTGCGCTTGCCAGACAGACAGAGAGAGAAATAAGAGACAGAAGGCAAGAAATCACCCCCCCAGGGAGGATGGTCACGTCGCAATCCCTTCTCTTCCATTCTCCTCTCGGGATCTTGGGCACGCACGCACACGCGCCCAGCGTGAGTTTTAAGCCACCAGGTCCGGGACGCGAACCACAGTCGACTACGTGGGAGTCCAGCGACATAGCCATTACACTAACTGCTGGTTCCCGATCCTATTGTTGAGGATATTATGGACCAGAGCCATTTGGATGAGTTAATGAAAGCATAAGCCAGCAGAAATGAGATCCTCAGATCCCATCATTTCCAGTATGAATCAGGCCATCTGTGTTGGAGACTGTTGAGCAGTAGGGAGGTCGAGACAGAATGTGTGCCCCTTCCCCTTGAGCTCAGTTGGTTTTAGGGGAGGAGAATGTTGAAGATAGACAAGCAGAAAATTGTGAGTGATCTGTAGAGAGCTCTGTTGCTTTGCATAAGAGGGAACCATCCTAAACCACTGGCATACCAACAAGGGCTTCCACAAGGAAAATGTGGATTTTTAAAACTACATTTTGTAAAAAGAGTAGGCCTTAGCAAGGTGAAGAAGGGAGGCAAGTAGAGAATACCAATCGTGCAAAGGCATGGCATAAAGAGATTACGGCACAGGGAAGGGACTGTCTGGTGTGGAGCTCGTGTGGGGAGAAGTGAGGCTCGAAGGGGGTGCAGAGTTCTGTGCATGACAAGGCTGACACGTGAACCTTGCACAGGTGTTCAAACTTTTTTCCGAGGAAACAGCCATTGCAGGATTTAGACCAGGGACTGGCTGAATCAGAGCAGATACTGTAATATGGTGAGGAAGGTGAATTAGAGGGAGTTGTGGAGCTGAAAAGAGTTATTTTCTCCGATGTTCATTGCTGAGGGCCTGGGCTAAAAAGCAGAAGTAGAAAGGGACAGGCTAGGTCAAGGCTATCCTGTGGAAAAGAGCTTATGGTCTGTGTCCTGTGGTCACATGTTCATGCTTTGTTTAAGATGCTGGCAGTGCTGGGCCATGCCTTTTTCATAGGATGATGAGTGAGACTTGTGTCCAAACAGTTAACTGTCTGAAGAAGTTTTAAAGTGTGCTATTTTGTGCTTATTTAACGATGACCTGCAGAAATGTTTATTCAACTTAAAAATTAGAGCCTGCTTGCCTTCTTTGGTCTGTTTTTTTAGATTGGAAAATGTTCAGTATCCCTACCAACTCTACATTGCTCCTTCCACCAGCAGTACAGAACGACCAAGTCCAAACGGCCCAGACAGGCCTTTCCAATGTCCAACCTGTGGGGTGCGATTCACCCGCATTCAGAACCTGAAGCAGCACATGCTCATCCACTCAGGTAACGTCGTAAGTGAGCGCTCGCAGGCACTTCATTACGGGGTCCCAGCTAACATTTAAATGCAGGTGTGTTCGCATTAGAAGAGGAAGAATACTGTGAGAAGTCAGGTGAGAGCAGAGTAGCTTAGGTCTGTGCCTGAAAGGGTCTGTGGTCAGAAAGCTGTTTGCTTAACAGATTGGGTCGTCCGAGAAGTAGGGATGCATTTTTGCACAGAATGCAGAAAAATGCATCATGACTTTCCCGATGACCCAACATTTGCCACAGGAGAAGTCTTCTAGTTAACACTTAGCAGTAGTATGTAATATGTAAAGAAAAACATGGGCATATGAGGTGTGCATTTACATATGAGATTAAAAAAGTATGAACACAGATAGTAAGCAGATGGGGTCAAGAGTATATGTGAATGTTTGTAGCATTCTTCTTGTAACTTTATAGTTTGAAGTTATTTCCAAGTTTTCTTTAATTTTAATATTTTGTTCTTAATTTTAATTTGACAGTCCTAAATTCCTCTGTGTCCTGATCAGTCAGGTTTGTAGTGCTGTAGGATACTACCGCGAGAGTGCAGTGCTTAGGGTACGCCACGGGAGTTAGTGCTTAGGGTACACCATGGGGGTCGGCAGTTAGGGTACACCACAGGGGTTGGCACTTAGGGTACACCACAGGGGTCAGTGCTATAGGGTACACCACGGGGGTCGGCGCTTAGGGTACACCACGGGAGTGCAGTGCTTAGGGTACACCACGAGGGTCAGTGCCATAGGGTACACCACGGGGGTCAGTGCTATAGGGTACACCATGGGGTTTGGTGCTTAGGTACAACGTGGGGGTCGGCGCTTAGGGTACACCACGGGAGTCAGTGCTATAGGGTACACCACAGGGGTCAGCGCTTAGGGTACACCATGGGAGCGCGGTGCCATAGTAGATATCTGGGGAAAAGTGCGGAACAGACTTGAAATTCAACTTCTGTGATCACATGAAGGTGACAGGATTATTGTGGGTTGAACACTGACCTCTGATGGGTCAAAGGTCATTGCTGTTTTCAGGGCCTTACTTTCCCTTTGTAGATAAGTCCAATAGTCTTGTCTTAACGCCAGTTCTCTGTGACTTAGTTAAATCTATAGATGGTGTTTTAAAATAATTTTTCTTTCTTTTTTTCCCAAAACTCTGATAATGAACTTGAAGAGACTATTAGTACGCTTGTAATTCCCTTACTAATGTCTATCAGTATGACATTGCAAGCTAGCCAGAATGACAGTCCATCACATGATGGTTCTGTCATGGTTACTGCGTCCAGGTTTTCCTCTTTCTTCCCTTTTTTCTGAGTAGGGAGCATGGGAGTGGGCACTGATCGCTTCCATGCCTTGTTCTGAGCAGTGCAGCGAGGCAGTAAGTGCTGTCGCAGAGGGTGGTTCTGTCTAAGTGCTGTGATTAAGTCGTATCCCCAAGTCTATGGGGTAGACTGTTCAGAATACTCAAAACCAGTTGCAGCCTATGTTACCTAGTCTCTTCCTTCCTGGCCTGCACTACTGACTTTCCATGCATTTTGCTCCTTTTCTGAAATGCTGCATTCAAATAAGTGTTTGCTGGTGGTTTTTGTCATTTCAGATTATCTATTGCTGCCAAGTTAGAGTACAAAAATGTGTGAGGTTTTATGATCTTCCAATTTGTGGTTTTTTAGATGTTTTGTTTTGGTTTGTTTTGTAGGAATTAAACCATTTCAGTGTGACCGCTGTGGGAAAAAGTTCACCAGGGCTTACTCACTAAAGATGCATCGCCTAAAGCATGAAGGTAAACGCTGTTTCCGGTGCCAGATATGTAGTGCCACTTTCACTTCCTTCGGGGAATATAAACACCACATGAGGGTTTCCCGGCACATTATCCGCAAGCCTCGGATTTACGAGTGCAAAACATGTGGCGCCATGTTCACCAACTCTGGAAATTTAATCGTGCACCTGAGGAGTCTGAACCATGAAGCATCAGAGCTAGCAAACTACTTCCAGAGCAGGTGAGGTGCACGACGGGAACCCAGCCAGGAAACTGCTCTCTAAACTCTCTCTCCTGCTTGTAGGGCAGCCTGCGGTGGTTTTTTAAATCAGATTGCCAGCTAATGCATCGCATTCACTTTAAATTCCCACTGTCCATACTCTTATCTCTTAATCTGATATTATTTTGCTGAATCTTCTAAGTATATACAATTATAAATATTTATATAGTTGGTATTCAAAGTATTTTCCTACTTAAGTAGACCACTTATCCTCTTGATTTTTTTTTTTTAATAATAAAAGGTTAATTTCATTGTAGATCTTAAATAGATTTTATTGGACAATTTGCCACGTCAGATGGTACTTAATGATAATTGAATTACTTCAAACTCTGATGTTAGTGCAATTCTTGACCACTCCTCTCTTTTTTATGTTTCTCGCTATAGAGTGCATATGCTCACCAGAGGGAAAGTGATGAATCACCCCTTCGGGAATGGCCGTGCTGTGATCCCTTCTCTATTCTCAGGATTTGGGGCATGCATGTACGCACACACACCCAGAGTGATTTTCAAGCTGCTAGGTCCAGGACTTGAGCTGCCATTGGCCATGTGGAAATCCATTGCCTTAACCACCATGCTACCTGCTAGCCCTACTTCTCTACTTAAAAAAAAAAAATCAGTGTAAAGGAGTGTCCATTTACTAATAAGAAAGAAATTCTGACAACAACTACATGGTTATAATTCTTTAGATCAAACGAGGTCTTTCCTATCTTCTTTCAGTTTAGAGCACCATGCTTTTAACGTTTAAAACTTGTAGTAGAGTTACCTTTTTAATTTATAGAGTATTGAAGGAAATCAGGTTTAGTTCTAACTCTGCCTCTAATTACTGTTGACAGATGAAGACACTTGAAACTTAGAGAAACATAAAATGTAAGTTTTAAATGAGATGGTTTCTAAGATCTCCCCTAGATACAGTTCTTTTGTCTGCTTTTTCAATACTTTATAAGCTTTATCCTACCTCTAGAAATCCTTAGTTTCTTATAAAATGAAATCTCCCTAAATCCTTGCCTTTTTTTTTTTTTTTTTTTATTGCTGGAGGATCCATCCACTCACTAGAGACAAAAAGAGCCCACGCACCCACCAGTGGGATACAGCTGTCCTGCAGTTCTCCGGTCTCTGTTTCTTGGTTCTGTCAGGATTTGGGCATACAGAGCACGTAACTGCTGCACCACAGAGCTGGCCCAATCCTCACATTTTAAATCACCTTTCTTTATAAAACTGGAATTTTCAATAAATTCCAAATTATTCCTGCATGGATTTTGGTTTTCCTGTTAATCTAGACATTTATTTTGTTAACTCTAAAGAAAATATAAGGGTGTTGGGGGCCAGCAGGTGACGTAGTGGATAAGACTCTGGACACTCCCACATGACCAACCATGGTTCAAGTCCCAGACCTGGTGGCTTGCTTTCTCACTTCTCTCTCTCTCTGGTCAAAATTTAAAAATAAATGAATGAATAAATAAAAATTTTTTTAAAAGAAAAGAAAATATAGAGGTGACCCCTGGCAGCCTGAGACACACCAAGCACGTGTTTGCACATGTCCAGAATCCCAGCCAGATGGAGAAGTGGAGAGGGGTTACAGTGGGGGCCACACCCCACTGGGGTGCTTTCTCATTCTCCCTCTGTCTCTGACAGTGCTTCGCCCTCTGGCAGTTAAAATGTAAACATATGCTTACCAAAGGGAGATGGGAGAAAACATGCCCCCAACGGGATGGTTGCACTGCATTCCATCTTCCTCCAGTGTCCCCTCCTTTCGGGGTTTTTGACACTCACTCACCTAGTATGATTTGTTAAGCCAGCAGACTAAGACTGAAAACCGTGAGATTGGCAGTGAGATTCAGCTCCCTTAACCCCCAAGCCATAGGCGACCCCAGATATATTTAACATAGGTTTTAGTATTGGAGATGTGTGGTTGTCAGATCATCGAGCCCAGTTATAGTCCCATTTAGCCTCTTTTGTTCAGGACTGGAGTGTTCCAGTGAACCACTCCCACTCTCCATGTCTTCCCTGTACAAGTCCTACATCCTCCTAATACCTGGCGACTGTTTTGGAAAATATCTTAGGTCATTTTCAGTTGAGCAGATTTTGACTTTTTTTTTCACTAATACTGAACAATCAAATTATAAAATAACCTTATGAAATGTATGAGTCACTGGTAGTCTAGTATAATGAACGTCATCCAGTAATAAAGATCCATGTAAAACACCTAGGGCTAGGGCCAGAAGCTGGCATGGGGGTTAAGGCACTGGATCCCACATGGCTGGTGCAGAGTTGCCAGTGGCTTGAAAATACGCCGGGCTCATGTGCGTGTGCGCCAGATCCCAAAAGGAGAGTAGGGGAGGGGATGATGGCCACAGCAGCACGGCAGTCGTCCCCACCTCTGTGTGTGTGTGTGGGGGTGATTTCTCACTTCCCCTCTCTGGTGAGCATACTAGAGCAAAAATAAATAAGTAAATAAATAGAATACCCAGTAAGCTATTTCATGTTTATTATTTTAACTACCAAAAAATGCTCATAGTGGAAAACACAGAAACATAGAGACGGAACTAAAAATCTGTTCTGATCCCACTAGCGGAAAGTGCCTGCTATCTAAGTGCTGGCCTGTCTGCTCACATTGCTGTGGTGTCAGTGGTTACCTTCTGAGGACTGGCGTATAACTGTCTCAAGCCGCTCATTCAGACTCTGACCCACAGACAATCTACACTATTTTCATAAACCACATCTAACTGCAGGGTATACAGAAATTATTTTCTACACTTTCAACTTTATGTAGTAGATTATGTACAAGGTCATTTTTGCGTCAAGACTTAGTTTCTCAACTAACATATGCAGTTAGTAATAAGATTCTAGAGTAGTACACCTCTCGGTGTATAATCCAAGGACAGTTAAGCACTTCAGTTATTCAAGTGTCCCTTGCTACTTAGTACTTGTTTTGTCTATAGGAACTTACCTCCTCAGAACCAGAAAGGAAGTCACAGTCGGTCTTACGTGACGGTGTAGAGACAATACACTTGGTCCTGACGATGGCTTTGGTTCATATTAGGAAGGTTAATAAGTTGAAGTTTCTGAGTTTAATGTACATTGAAGAATTAGGGAAAAGTCCCAGTCTTGTCTTACAGGTCCAATCTTGTAATAGTAACTTACTCTGTTACTGGCTTGGAAATTAACTGCTCCCCCTTTGCCTCTTACCTAGTGATTTCCTAGTACCGGACTACTTAAACCAGGAGCAAGAAGAGACCCTTGTTCAGTACGACCTTGGAGAACACGGTTTGGAGAGCAGCTCCTCTGTTCAGATGCCTGTGATTTCACAGGTCTCCTCAACCCAGAACTGCGAGAGCGCTTTCCCCTTGGGGGCTCTCGGCGGGCTGACAGAAAAGGAGGAAGATGCACCTGAGCCGCCGAAGGCCAGTGCTTGTGCCGAGGCAGCCAGAGAGGACCCCCAAGGCAGAGCTGTCATCCATAACCATTGAGTAATGTGTGGCTTGGCTTCGTTTTTGGTTTTTGGAAAGTGCCTGTGCTTGGTCTTGTATATTTACATTAATTTTTAAAACAGAAAAAGGGTTTGGGAAAGAACTTCCCCCTTTTACTTTGTAAGCCCTACAACTGATATTTTATTTTTCCTAGTGAGAGATCGCTTCTGTAAGTACACAGTAGCATGACGTTGAAGCATAACAGAAACTGGGGCTGGAGAGCCGCTGCCCTATCCCAGTTTCTTCTTCAGTGTTCAAAGTAGGCTAACACCACGTTTTAGGAAAAGAACTCAGAAGGCGATTGTCTTTCCTGAGATGAAGGGTACCGGAGAAGCAGGTTATGAAGCAAAGGTTGACAGACGGCCTGAGGAGATGTTTACTCTTACACACAGAATGTTGTATATTTTGTAAAGCCTGTTGTTTTGGAAGTATTTATGGTGAGCATTCTTAAAAATTACTGGCGTGAATACTTCTAAAATCCAGTAAACTCTTCTTTTAAGCTTTGTCGTTTTTGTTACGGTTTTCCTTGGTGAGAATTTGGTATGGGCTAGGCATTTCCTGTTCCCTCTAGTGCCACTCCAGAGGCAGAGCCAGGACTGCCCGTAGTCCAGCTGTGGAAGAAGTGCCCAAGACGGAGAGTGACGTATGTCTGTATGTCAGTCCTGGCCTCGCAGAACTCTCTGAGCACTGCTTCGCTGACTGAAAGCGATGGCTGCCTGGTCTTGGAGCAGCAGTGCTGGCTCAGTAGACCACTGCCCGGTGGGTCTCCCCGTGCCCCATCGCACTGTTCGCGCCCAGACCAGTGTGCCGCCACGTCCGTGGAAACTGCTGGAGATAGTCTGTATTTTACATGTGAGGTTATGCACTGTGAGGCTGTTTCTATTGTGCTGTTTTGGACAAAATAAAGAATTGTCTGTTGAGGCTGTGTTCTTAACCCAGCTAAGATTGTTTACAAAATCTCCTGTGACAGTGATTACGTGTCCTTGTCCCCAAATATTTTTTAGACATTGCCAAGTTTATTAAAAGCAGTTACTATAGTTTTCACACAATGTAAGCAATAATGTAAAAGAAAGAAGAGGCAATGCAAATATTTTTTAGACATTGCCAAGTTTATTAAAAGCAGTTACTATAGTTTTCACACAATGTAAGCAATAATGTAAAAGAAAGAAGAGGCAATGCAATGATCGTTTATGACTCATAAATCTGAGAAGAGAAAATTATTAAAATTAACTAAAAACTTTCAGTTAATGGGTATTACCTTTTTTTGTTACTTAAAAAAATGAAACTTCCTGTGTCGTGGCCGAAATGTGTTGCTGCCCTAGACGAGGATGCACATGTCACCTGTTGACCTTGATCCTAACTATCCATGAGTCCATGAATGAGGAACTTCCAAGTAGTTTTTTTTAAAAATCTTTATATCCAAGGTTTAATGATTATGAAAGCACCTGATTGGACTAGAAAGGAGAAACAGTTATTTTTTTAGTCAAAACATAAGATCTAAATTTGTTCAGGTGCTAGACCTTACTAAAAATGTGTTTAAAGTATAGTGATTTAACTGGTCTTTTTTACAGGCTATTTCTATCACTTCTGTCCCCAGCACGTAGGAAATAACAAAGGAAACTCATTAGGATTTCTGGGGTGGAGGTTTTTCCCATTTCTACATGTATTTTGCTGTCCTTAATTTATTTCCAATTCTTTCCCTCTCGAGCCTGTATTTCCCATGTGTTCCACACGCGGGTGCATTATCTTCACGGAAATTCGCACCTACGGGGAAGATGGACTTCCAGCACTTAGGCTTCTTGACTGATGGGGTGGAGTTACTTCCTCCAGCAGACTCCGAGGCTTGTTACAGTGCCCCCATGTATAAGCTGGGGAGTTTGGGAACTTTTCTTTAGTGTCACAGTAGAGTTTGAAACCCGTCATGCCTACCATTAGATGAGTTTCGGAGTTCAATCAGGCAACATGGAGTATAGGTGAAGCTACGACCAGGAATTGTCATTGCCAGAGTTTCCAGAGTGGTGGTGTATTGTTTTGTTTTGTTTTCAGAGAACAGAAAAAATAAAAATAAAACAGGAGATAAGGGAAATAATAAGGAAAAGAAATGCAGAATTGTTGCCAAGTTTCTTGGTCATAAGTGCTTTGACTTGTCTTCTCTCTGAGAGCTCTCCATTAAGAGAGCACTGCACAAATTTGGCAGCTCTGAGGTATTCCGACCATGCTCTCAAAATGAAGGATTACCCAATCCTGGGTTTTCTTTCTCATGTAGAAACTAGGTTTTCACTGGTGATTACAAATGGCACCAATTTTGAGGTTTTCTGGGAAATGTGAATATACTGTGAAATGCACGTCAGGTTAGTTGTCCATGCCCAGACCTCGTCTCAGCAGGGTTACGAGCCAGCATTGAACATAGCGTGACCCGAACAAAGACCTTTTTCTATTTCAGCAAGGCATTGCATCTTTCTTGAACATGGTTTAAGGATGTTAATTATAGATCTGTTTTTCGGAAACAAAGCTGCAAGGGATTATTGTATATATAGGAGTATTTAGATTTATTTAAAGTTCATCTGAGAGAGATGCCTGGATGTATCATTTTACCCATATAACATGGAAAACATTGCAGAGGTGAAAGCCAGTTTCATCATCCCATCACTAGCAATGACCAGTATAACTAAGCATAAAAGCGTCCAGTTTAGAATATTTAACCATAGCTATCTTTCTTAAGGCCCGAGAGGGTAACTTTGTGATATTTAAAGGGCTTAAATTTTAGAATACAGAATGAATTGCCTTTTTTAAATCAAGCATTTTTATACAAGAAGAGCTTTTATTTTCAGTTTTTAACTGCCAAATAGGTGTGATATACTTTGGAGGTGAACCGAGATGTTTACCCATGGACCTAGATGAGGAAGCCCCTGCTGTCCCTCTTTTCATACTCAAGGGATATTCTAACAGTGGAAGCATCTGGCATGTCAGTAGTTCTGCCAGTTCAGAAGCAAAGGCTTAATGGGCTTTTTGTGCTTGCATTTTAAGTTCCTAATTTCAGTGAGACAAAATACACCAAAATATTTTAAAGCCTCATTCAGTCATTTGAGTATTTCAGCAACCATTATGGCTTAGAGGAGTTAGGTTCCATGTTATGACACATGTCCCTTGGTCTTAAACCAAAAAAAAAGAAAAAAGAAAAAATCCTTTTTGTTCAAACACTAGACCAAATGGAGTAGACTAGTCAGCACATCTGAAGTGCTTCATCTACTGGTGACTCAAGTTACCTTCTAACGACTGAGCCAGACTCTCCCAGGCTCTAAAGTGCTCTGTGGCAACCTTGGGATGCTGTACCACTAAATCTCACAGACTTTTGGTATCTTTCCTTATTTTTATTCTCTTACTCTCATAGAGGCCACTTAGCTATTTCGAAAGTTCTCAGATCGTGTTTCAGGCATCTCTGGAGACCCAGGAAGCTCGTCGTCCTGCAGGGTGACAGCAGCTCTTTGCTACAGTGTCATTCTCGTCACTCGGAGAATGAGCAGTTCTAGAATTGGAGTATTTCAGTGAGCGAGGCTTTGAGATTTCTGGAATTGGTGAACATGAGAATGACAAACTTTCATGTGGTAATTGCTCTGTTAGAATGGCTGATTTTCTAGATACTGATATTAACTGGAGAGAGAGCTAGGACAGTTCACATGTGGATGAGACAGACACAAAGTCGCTCGAGGGTAATGAATGTGACTTTCGCTCTAAGTTATTGACATAGGGTCCTTTATTTACAGTGCATTTACGGTGTGAAAGTTACTGAGAGAAGGATGTATTTTGAAGTAGTGGATCAGAATTGCAGCGATGCACAGCTCTGTCATGGTGAGTGTCCAGAAGGGATTCTTAGAGCACACTCACACTGCTTCGAACTAATATCATCTCAATTTACGTGGCTTCTTACTTCGCCTATACTTGTTTTTGTTTTGTTCTGGTTTTTGGTTTTAGGATTTTGCCATAGAGCATCTGTGCTCGTTGGAGAGAGACCGAAGGAAAGTGAGAAATCACCCCCGAGAGGATGGCCACACTGCAGTCCCTTCTCCTCCCTTCTGGGATTTTGGGCACACACGCACTCGCACCTGGCACGATTTTCAAACCGCTGGGTCTGGGTCTGGGTCTGGGTCTGAGACTCAAACTGCACTTGGCCACATGGGAGTCTAGCACCTTAACCACCACGCCACCTGCTGGCTCTGCCCAGACCTGTTTTTATCTTTCAGTTTCATTTTTGCTTAACAGAACTCGGTCACGTAGGGCATTTTTATTTGGATGACCCTCAGGAAGATGAGTTAACCAGAAGCAATAATCGCTCAGATTAAACTGAGGTGGGTTGAACCCATCCTGGGCCCAACTAAGGAACACTCTGGGTGTTTCCCTTTAGAATACAGGTAAACAGATAAAGGTAGGTCGTTGTCATCTCGTTTGAGAGAGGAGGCTGTCAGATATGGAAGAAAAACACGGAATACCAGTACCACCACTAGGCCCACTTTCTATTTCTTTATACCAAACTAACAGATATTTCCACCGTAGCGTGACGTTTATATTTTCATGTAGATAAAAAATAGTTCCACATCTTCACATGAGCCCTGCAGGGATCTCAGCCGGTGTTGGCAACTTGGTTGCGCAGTGGGAAAGATGAAACTGCCTGGATGCGGCCGGCTGCCGAGCTCCACCTTTCCTTGGGGTGGGATGTCAGCTTCCACAAATGCCACATTCTGTGTCCTGATACTCAGATGACTTGAGAGTACACACCATGAACTGAAGACAAAAACCTTTAAAAATTCTTAAGCCTGAATTTGTTTCTAATTGCAAGAAGGCACATGCACTCCCAAGAGAGACAGTGGAGAGGGGCAGGAGAAAGCGCCCCCGGACCACGGCCTTTGTCTATTGTTTCTCTGCCCTGTCAGGATTGGGGTGCACACACATCCCCTGCAGGTCCCCTGCATGCCTGGCAGGTCTTTCAAGCTGCTGGGCCAGGATTGGGTCTGCGGTCAGCCATGTAGAATGTGGCCCCCTTAACTGCTGGGCTGTGGGGTGTGGGGCCAGCCCAAAACCTAAACATTTTTTAGTTTGAAGTGCCTGGTTTCGAAAATTAGATTGATTTTTTTTTCCTTTCTTTTTCAATTTAACTAATTTGGCTAATTAAGCATAAAGCCCAGAGCTGGGTTCTTAGGACTTATTGATAAAATTGCTGCTTAATGGTTTGAGGGGTTAGTGTCGTGATTCTCAATAGATTGTCCTTGTTTTCCTAAATGCCAGTCTCAACTGTATCCAGATTTTATTTAAACAAGTTTTTTTTTAATTATCCTGTAATTGAATGTTGATGTTACCAAAGTCATCCCCTGCTGAAGAAGGGCGCATCCTCCTGCCTCGGAGCCCTCTCCTCTGGGGGCTCCCCTGCAGCAGTGGGGCTGGGGCGCTGCGAGGGAGCCCGAGTGCAGTTCTTGGAGACAGCTGCTTTCTAGAGAGAGCCTTTTTTCTATGGTTAGGTTGTGTGTGTTTTTTCTAGGAGGTTTCTTTCTATTTCAGTTACCAATTTAATTTTCAAGTTGCCAAATGCTGTGTAAAGTCTCTCATACTGAGAGTGTCCCGTCAAGGTTTTGAAAGTTGCACTGCTTATCCGTCTTCCAGGTACCTGGAGTGAGTGGCAGGTGTTGGAAGGTGTAATATCATAACCTTACTCGTTTTCTTCCTTGTACAAAGTGATGGCTTCTAATGCTTATATTTTAAGGTATTTTTTTAAAAAAAGCAACAATCCCTAATAGAGTAAAATTTGATTTTGATCCAAGCCCCAATAATATATCTAATTATTCTGTTGTTATTGGTGCCCCGACCGCAGCAGCCAGCCTGCCTGCCTCTTCGTAGGGCACCTACGGCACCTTACGTCCAACTGGGAGGGTAGTACATGGCTTCTTTG